TGGGCAATCCTACTTCCGTAATGATACTGCCTCGGAAACCCAAGGAGGGGTCGCTATGAGTCGGGGCCGACTCGACGGCACATAACAACAACAACAACAACAAGGGCAGGAGGGAAGGGAGAAAGGTAGAATCATTTTTTAAGAAGCATTGAATTTGTTTATGGGGATGGAAATTTTTGATTGATGTAATTGGTGTTACTGAATCATATACATGAAAGATGTTGAATTAACAAATGTGTTATCTGTAATTTTACAACCACCACCAAAAAATTCAATTATTTGTCTCAGACGTTTCTGAAGCAACTGTGCTTAAGCGGAACCTACACTGGATGGCGTAAGCTCCCAGCTGAGCTGCAGTGTTGACGGGGCAGGGCAGCCGGCCCTGAAGGACATCTTGCTTCACCTGCAAGAAAAACTGATATCTAAAAAAGAAATGGAAAAAATAGATTAATGATATCCTACACTGCCCAAACCTGAGGTTTCAGATCCTGATAATCAAGGTAACATCCAATCACCTTTAATAAAAATAAAGCCATTCTCCAATCTTGTGTGAGGCAGCTGTTGAGTGAACAGGGACTATCTGAACATAACTTATCGAGTAGTCATTAAAAGTACAGGCTCTGGAGTCAGACTGCCTGGCTTGCATCCCAGCCCTACTACTCTGTGGCCTTGGGCTGCTGCTTAACCTCTGTAAAGGCCAGTCTCCTCACCTCATACAAAGGCTAAATATAAGCTATTATTGCCATTATCATTACTGCTACTGCCACTACTACTGTGACATGCTTACTGTGAGGAACAAATTACAAGAACTCAACATATATTACAAGTGTTATCAATAGACACTAAAATCACAAAGACAGGATGAAAAGGTCATTATAGTGCAATTCCATTAATCCTCCCACTTAAGACCCTGCCCATTACCTGAAGCTTTTCATTCCATGCCACATAAAGAAACTATTATAAAGCTTGTAAGTTTTTTTCATTCTAATTAGGTTACATATGATAACTTAAAGGAGCCTTCAACATGAGGCCAGTTACTATTAGCATCTCAGTTTTGCAGATGAGGAAACCGACACAGAGAGACGAACTTACTTGGCCAAGATATCACATAAGTACTTACACTGAGAAGCCAGAACTGGAACCTGGACAATCTGACCCTAAAACTCTCTCACTCAAGATGCTACACAACTTTGACTAGCTTTTTTCCTTATTCAGTAAGATGAAGAAGGCTAGTTTATGAGCCAACACAATGAACCAGCAGCACCACCCTCGGCCATCATCACCTGGACTCACACACAAACATACACGCGCACACACACACACACACTCCAACTATCCTTTCATTGTAAGGTGATTCTTGCTGTTATTGCGAAGGGAAGGAAAAAGCAAAGGAAGTGAATTTGTTTATAGTGGCTGTAATAAAACTACTCTTCTCTAAAGGTTCACAACACTTAGTGAGGGGATCAGGAGCTCTGGTAGCATAGTGGCTAAAGCACTTGACCGCTAACCAGAAGGCTGGCGGTTCAAACCCACCAGCCACTCCTCGGAAGGAAGGTT